TCTGTGGGGAGGGGGCGCCCCCCGCGGCCGCCGGCAGGGTGTGGAACGGGACACCCCCACCCGGGACCCGGGCGACCCCAGCGCCCCGCCGCCCGCCTCTGGGGCTCATCTCCGCCCCTGCACCTCTCTGGGGGCTCGGGCTGGCTGCCCGGCCGCCTCTCGGGGTCCCCCTGTCTGCTCGGGTCCCTCCGGGGCTTTCCTGGCTCTGACTCCAAGCCCCCGTCTCCCTGCCTGCCCCTTGCGCCATCTGTGATCTCTGTCTCTGCGCCCCTGTCTAGCCCATCCTGGGGCTCTGCCCGTCTGTCCCTCTCCATGTCCGTCTGTCTGTCCTCTGTGTCTCTCCCTCCCCCTCTCCCCCACCTCCTGGTCCCTGGGCAGCTCCCACCCGGCTCCCCTGGCCTCTCCCTCTCCCCCAGCCACTTAACTCTCCTCCTACACACCTTTGTCCCCGCCCCTGATTCAGGCTGACCTGGCCAGAGGGTCTCCACAGAGGGGGTTTCCCTATGCCCCAAGCCCCCTGCACTGGCCCCGCATCACCGCCCCCTCTGTCCAGGACGGAGCCCCTCCCCTGTCTTGTTGCTGGCCCTGGAGGCCCGTCCTGCCGGCCGTCTAACCTGTAGCCTTTGCCATAGAGCTTGGGCTTATCCTTTCTCCAGTCTAACCTCTCCCTTCAAACCGGACCAGTCCTCCCCACAGTCTGACTTGCATATCTCATGCTGCTTGTCCGTTTCCTGATTTATCTTTTGACAACTACTGAGCAACGTTCCTGCTCTGGGCATAGTGCTAGGTCCTGGGTCAGGCCCTGCCAGCCCTGCCTACAGCCTCCCTTCCATCCCGCCAGGCCTGCCTCCTGGGGACAGGTCACAGAGGGTCCCACATTCCCCGGGCCCTGAGAACCCTCTTGCGTCCAGAAGGCAGCGCGTGCCTCCCTGGAGAAGGTGGCGGTGGGTGGCTGGGCAGGTGTGAGCCTGGGCCCGAGCTGGAGCTGCATGGGGCTGTGTGTGTGCGTGCCTGTGTGTCCACCGCCTCCCTGGCCTTGAGCGAGGTCCCTGCCCTGTGTGACAGAGTACCGCCCGGCACTCCAGATGGCTTCAAAGGCCACCAGGTTAGGAGCCCAGCGCCTTGGCTCTCCATCTCTGCCCAGCCCCTGACCCGAAGCTGTGTGACTTGGCCAAGTACCTCCCACTCTGGGCCTCAGTTTACCCAGCAGGGGATGGCAGCCCCGAACACAGATGCTCCTGGCTGTGGTCCCCAGGCTGGCAGTGCAGGCTGGTGTGAGAGCTGCCCCCTCCCACAAGCGCAGGATTCCACTCTGCGTCCCCTGCCTTCACCTGTGGGACGCACACACCTGCCTTCCCACCCCACTCTGGGCAGCAGCTTGAGGAGAGCCCCAGGCCAGCCACACCCCAAGCCTGCAGCCACCAAGGCCCCCAGAAGAAGAACTGGGGCGCCCACCCCGGGACCAGCCGGCCCACCAGGCCCTGGGTGGGGCCACCATCTGCCCAGCCGCCCTGCCTCCCGCTCAACCTGATCCTCTCGCCCCTGCTTTCTAGGCCTGGATTAGGTTCCAGGGCTGCTGGTAGACAGAGGCGGGGGCCCTGGACAGAGCGCTCTGGCCGTCCCTGGCGGTGCGCACGGGGTTTACAAATATTTATCCAGGGCCTTCTCTTCCGACCCCTCCTTTCCCGGGGCCCCGTGAGAGGAGACCCGGGCTGCAGGGAAAGGCCTGGAGCGGGGCTACTTTCCCCAGCCCCTGGGGAGGCGGCCAGGCCGGAGAATGCTGGGCAGGGGCATCGCCGCCCGTCTCCCCTCAGGACTGCTGCGGGGAGGGACAGGTGGTTCGGCTGTGGGGGGAACTTCCCAGAATGAATTCACGCCCCTGCTTCTGAGAGCCAAAGAGGAGGGCGGAGAAGGCAGCACTTGTGAGGCTTTGCTTTGGTTCCTGGTGGGTTTGTAATTACGCCTAAGTCTTGCTAATTAGGGGGCTGCTAATTAGATGTATCATTAGGGGCCTTTCCGAGGGGATTAATGGTGCTGTGGCCCTTTAAGAATCACCCCTCTCCCCACCCCTGACACCCCCCACACACTCACACACACACACACACACACTCCCTCTTGGAGAAGTTCTGCCAACATTCTGCCTCCCTCCCCCAGAGGAGCCGGCTCCCAGCCGTGGGCGAGTCGTGCGCTGGGCCAGGCTCAGGGTTAGATGCCCAGAGCAACTCTGCAGGCAGAAATGAAGTTACTGGGAGACCTGACGCTGGCGGCCCAAGGGTCCGGGAGGAGGGAGGCTTGGGTGACACCTGCCTCCCAACCCCTGTCCCTTTTTATAGGGTTACCATGGCAACAGAGGGGGCCCCAGGAGCTCCAACTTGGAGCCCCTCCTGCAGACAGAACCCAGGAGCCATAGGATTGGCGCTGGGTGACTTTGGGAGAGTTATTTAACCTCTCTGAGCCTCAGTCCTCTCTCCTAAAGGGAATCACTTCGGATGGGGTGGTCAGGGAGAGAGGGCCTGAGGCGGAGGGGTGGGAAGGAAGGACTGTCCGCCTCAAAGGTGGGGCCACAGAGCATGAGACGTCAGGGACCAGGGAGGGGGCTCGAGCTCAGAGACAGCCAGTGAGAGCTCCGGGCAGATTGTGTTTGTAAGGGGACGGGGATGCGCAAATGGGTGGCGCAGACCCAGGAGCAGAAGTGTGCGGGGAGTACCGAAGCAGTGGGGGCCCCGTCCCCCAGACAGACAGAAGCCCTGCGTCCCTGCTGCCACCTTGCAGTGACTGGGGAGGGACCAGCAGCTGCTACCACCACAGGGAGGCCACCTCCTGTGGCCCCTGCCTATCCCCAACCCCGACAGACAGACAGGCAGGCAGGCTCCCCAGCACCTACTGCCAGTCAGATCCCAAGCAGGAGCCTGCTGAGGGCCGAGCTGAAACCATCAGGATCACCTAGCACAGCGGGGGCTCTGCTCCCCCTGCCACCCACCCTTTTTTTGTGTGCCTGGCTTCATTCTCCCTCCTGCTGTTGTGTCTGTGGGCTCCCCTATGTGGTCACACCCCCCCAACTCCCTCCCTCTTCAGTGCTGCGTAATATTCCACTGCAAGCTACCTGCACCCCGGGGTGCTTCCTGATTTTGAGGCTGACCTCCATCAGGGCCCTGTCAAGGTCGGTGCTGTTATAAAGGAAGCTGCCGAGATTGTTCACGTGGGTGTCTTCCATACCTGCTGGAGGAAGCAGGCCTATTTCTCCTGGGTCTATTCCTAGAAACAGAATTGCTGAGTAGCAGGATATGTGATCCTGCCAGGGCTTCCCCAAGCACTTTGGCCAATTTCTGTCCCCACCAGCATCGCACAAGGAGCCATCTGTCCTTTGCGGTCCTTCGTCCCTTTCCCTGTGATTCCATCTCCGTAAGCTTCCTGCGTCGGCCCTTAGCTCCGCCCCCCATGGCCCAGTAGGCGGTGCCTTTGTGTGAAGGAGCGGAGTGGGCTCCGCTCACCCGGCCCTCCCCCTCCTCTTCCTCCCTAGGACCTCACCACCCCCCATGGCTGCCTTGGCCTTGGTGGGGGTCGCACTCCTCCTGGGGGCTCCCCCGTGCTCGGGGGCGGTCACCCCGACCCCATCCCTGCCGCCTCCCCCGGCCAATGACAGCGACGCCGGCGCAGGGGGCTGCCAGGGCTCCTACCGCTGCCAGCCCGGAGTGCTGCTGCCGGTGTGGGAGCCGGACGACCCGTCGCTGGGTGACAAGGCCGCGCGCGCCGTGGTGTACTTCGTGGCCATGGTCTACATGTTCCTGGGCGTGTCCATCATCGCTGACCGCTTCATGGCGTCCATCGAGGTCATCACGTCCAAGGAGAAGGAGATCACCATCACCAAGGCCAACGGCGAGACCAGCGTGGGCACCGTGCGCATCTGGAACGAGACCGTGTCCAACCTCACGCTCATGGCCCTGGGCTCCTCGGCGCCTGAGATCCTGCTGTCCGTCATCGAGGTCTGCGGCCACAACTTCCAGGCGGGCGAGCTGGGCCCTGGCACCATCGTGGGCAGTGCCGCCTTCAACATGTTCGTGGTCATCGCTGTGTGCATCTACGTCATCCCTGCCGGTGAGAGCCGCAAGATCAAGCACCTGAGAGTCTTCTTCGTCACTGCCTCCTGGAGTATCTTCGCCTACGTCTGGCTCTATCTCATTCTGGCCGTGTTCTCCCCGGGTGTGGTCCAGGTGAGCCAGCAGACACCTTTTTGGTGCCTCTGCCAAATGCAGAGGGCTGTTGGTCTCTGTAGATGAGAGGTGCGACGCTCACATCCAAGAGGGGGGCCAGGGGTGGTTGTGCAGGTCACACACTGCACAAGGGAATTGGACCACAGAGAGCAAAGCAGGGCTGGAGATCATTGGTGCTTGCAAGCCCTGTCTATGGGAGGTGTGTGAAACACCCTGGGGACAGGGGAGAGGGTATCATGCTGTAACCGTGCAGAAGGGTGCTGCTTTCTTTTTTTCTTTCTTTCTTTATTTTGTCTTTTGGAGACAGGGTCTCGCTATGTGGTTCAGGCTGGCCTTGAGCTCACTTTGTAGCCCAGGCTGGTCTCAAACTCACAATGACCCTCCTGCCTCAGCCTCCCGAGTGCTGGGATTACAGGTGTGTGCCACCACGCCCGGCTGAAATCTCCTAAACTCTTCAAATGAGGCAGGTTCTGGGAAGAGATGCAATGTGTGTGTGTGTGTGTGTGTGTGTGTGTGTGTGTGTGTGTGTGTCCATCCAGGGATTGAAGCCAGGGCCTCCTCGTTGAGTTGAGCTACACCCCCAGACCTTTTTTAATTTTTATTTTGAGGCAGGATCTCACTAAGTTGCTAAGTTGCCCAGGCTGGGCTGAAACTTCCAATCTTCCTGCTTCAGCCTCTTGAGTGCTGGGATTACGGGTGTGCGCCACCACGCCCGGCATCCCCTCCCTTCTCCTTCCACCCCACCACCCCCCTACTGGGAATTGAACTCAGGACCTTGTGCTTGTCAGGCAGGCACTTGTACCACTGAGCTGTATCCCCAGCCTGAAGGGTGCTTTTTAACTCTCACCAGGGCCTCCTGTGTGCTAACAGCACCCCCGGGGTCTGTGTAGTACACACAAGGAATGATCACACATTTACCTATATTTGATATCTTTTGCATAATTTATTTCTGTTCTTGCAATAAGACATCCCCGTTTGCATAATTCATATGGCATTAGCATAAACCGGCCCCGTGTTTTCTGACACTGCTAATTGGTTGGTTAACTTGGTGCAATTTACATAATACATCCTGGGGCTCCCACAGATGTGTGGCCACATCTGCATACTTCAGCCCTGTGGTTGCCGGATATGTGGTGGTGGTTTGCATAATTCATTCATTATTTAGCATGGGTGTCTGATGTCAAGATAATGTATGCCTCTGCGGTGTAACTTATACTCCCGTCCAATCCAGCGTGGATACAAGCTGTGTCCACTTTGCATAATTTATTCCAACAGCGAGACAGCATTTAGACCACAGCCGATGGCTTACACCTTTGTTCCCAGGATCCCTTGCCTCTGCCTGGGCTTCACCTGGGTCCCCACACAGTCTTCCTGCCAGACAGTTCATTTATTCCTCGCAACGCCTGGGCTGCCGCTTACATTTGCATAATTTATTTATGGGCCCGGCCTAATTCGTTCACACACATGCATAATTGATCTGCAGCACCGGCTTCATTCACACTTGTGTGTAATCTACTCGCTGCCATAGGGTTTCTTCCCAAAGGCTCCAAGGCTACAGATAAAAAATGCTTGGAGTGTGATGTGTAAGGCGGGATGGTGGCAAGGAAAGGCGGGTGGAGGGTGAGTCAGGCAGGGAGAAAGTTACACAACTGACTCAGAACTAGAAGGCTGAGTTTCCTGGCTGTCATGGTGAAAAGTGCAGAAGAGGCATCGTATGGTTTTCTGGTGTCTTTTTTTTTTTTTTTTTGTCTTTTGGAGACAGGGTCTCACTATGCAGTTCAGGCTGGCCTTGAGCTCACTTTGTACCCCAGGCTGGCCTCGAACTCACAACGATCCTCCTGCCTCAGTCTCCCAAGTTCTGGGATTACGGGCATGTGCCACCACGCCTGGCGACCTGTGTGTGTGCGGTTTTTTTGAGACAGGGTCTCACTATGTATTTCAGGCTGGCCTCAAACTTACAGCGATCCTCCTGCCTCAGCCTGCCAAGTGCTGCAATGACAAGCATGCACCACCATGCCCGGCTTGAGAAGCCCTTTTTTTTCTTCCTTTTGTTTTCTTTTCTTTTCTTTTTCTTTTCTCCTGCAGGACTGTATATTGAATCCAGGGCCTTTACACTGGGCCATATCCTCAGCCGCTCCCCACCCCCAGTCTTGCTAAATTACTAAGTTGCCCAGGCAGGGCTTGAACTTGCCATCCACCTGCCTCAGCCTCCCGGTTCTGAGATCATGGGCGTGCACCACCCCTCGCAGCTCATGCAGGGGAATATTCTGAAGGGAGGCAGGACGTGGGAGAATTCTGTTTTGTGCGGGGCTGTCCTAACAATCACTGGGTGTCACCAACCGTTAATGGCCAGGAGCACACTGCCTCCCCTCTCTAATGACAAACCAGCAGCATCCTGCCTCAACGAGGACCTCAGGGAGCCCCAGTCCCCTCCTCCGGGGGGCAGAAGGACAGCCTGAGCCGGCTGAGACCACTGTTTCTTTACCTGCAGGGAGGAAATTCAGGTCAGGAGGTGGAGGGTTTTGTTCGAGCAGCAGAGAGCTCCCAGCAGCACACGGTGTGTGTGGATTTCCTACGGGGGAGTGGGCTGGTCTCACACCAGGCACTGGAAATTCCTCTTCCCGGCACAGACTTGCCCAGTGGCTTTGCGCGGCTCTGACTTCCAAGTCCTGACTTGACTCAGAGCTGTCAGTAAACAGTGACCATGGATGTGGTGATTGGATCTTCAAAGATATTGTCCCTGCCAGGCTGTGGACAAGGAACTTCCGGGTCCCTGGGACCGTAAATATCCTTCACCCTTCTCTTCCTTATCTTTAAGGATAAAGATAACATTTGAGTCTTTGCACAAGGTGAGCAGGCGGGGCTTGGTGGGTATCTCCTGGGCACAGGAAGATGGATCTGAGACCTCAGGGAGCCAAAGACAGTCAGGCTTGTGGTAATCAGATTTATTTTATTTTATTTTATTTTTGTCTTTTTGAGACAGGGTCTCACTATGCAGCTCAGGCTGGCCTTGAGCTCACTTTGTAACCCAGGCTGGTCTCGAACTCTCAGTGATCCTCCTGCCTCAGCCTCCCGAATGCTGAGATTACAGGCGTGCGCCACCATGCCCGGCTTGTGGTAATCATAATGACCCTCTTCAAGTCACTTCTTTTTCTTTTTCCTCTTTTTTCCTTTCCCTTTTTTTTTCTTTTCTTTTTTGAATCTCAGTATGTAGTTCAGGCTGGCCTTGAACTCACTGTATAGTACAGGCTGGCCTCAAAATCGAGGTGATCCTCCTGCCTCAGCCTCCCAAGTGCTGGGATCACAGGCCTGCACCTCCATGCCCGGCATTGTGAGAGTCACAGTCCAGTCCCTAAGGGCCACATAAATCAAAGGAGGGAGAATCTGGCAAGACCACAACCACCAGTGGCTATCTATGGGTTGGAGAGAATGTTGGTGAGCAGAGAGGGCCCCTGAGGAAGGATGGAGGAAGGTAGGCAGGAAGAGACACAGGATCTGCCCCCTGAGATGGGCTGGGCCCACAGAGTGAGGACATTTGTCACTTGCTGAGGATGTTTGGGTTCTTGGCCCCTGGAAGGCGTGGTTCTCAGCATGTAAAAGGTGGGCGGAGTTGGGTGTGGTGCCACATGGTTGTGATCCGGGACTCTGGGAGGCTGAGGCAGAAAGATTGCAAGTTCCAGCTCAACCTGGGCAATTCAGTGACATAACAAGACCCAGTCTCAAAATCAAAAAATAAAAAAGGGCTGGAAATGTAGCTCAGGGCAGAAGGCCCTGGGTTCAACTCCCATTCCCACCCTCCCAGAACACACACACACACACACACACACACACACACACACACACACAGCCCTCTCTGGAGAGACATACGTTGATTAAGAAAGCGAACAACTTTGAAGACTTCTAGGGAGGGAGCTGGGTGTCTTCAAAAAGATAAAAAAGGACCTGGAGCTGCAGAGAGACAGACAGGAGAAGGAATGATCAAAAGCACCAAGTGAGACAGAGAGAGAGCCAGCCACACACAGTGACGTGGAGAGGCGGAGATGGGCAGCCAGGAACAGGCGGGCGGCTGAGCGGTGGAGGGGGACGGACGGCGCGGATGGGTGCGGGGCCGAGGCGGCGAGGGCGGCCACAGGCGGGGGG